AGAGAAATGCAAATTACAGTAACAACGAGATACCACTACACATCCATCCACCAGAATGGTGAAAATTTAAAAGACCCATATTACTAACTTGGTTGACTGGCTTTTTGTAGAGTAACCTGCTCCAGTTTTAGAAAACAAAACTTTGAGACTTCTTTACATGCAGCCTTAGAAACCAGGGTGAGGGACTTGGGTGAACATCCAGGTCTCATAGTCATTGCTTCCTATGTTCCCCACCTGTACTGAGTCCAGCCTGAGTTAAGAAGCCAGAACCCAGAGGCAACCTGAGGTCTCTGATAGCCAAGTCATTGTCACTTCAGCAAGTGGCCATTGGCATTACGTGTTGCAACCCCACACTCAAGGACTGGCCCTGCTGGTGAAATATGCTGTAAATATGAGGCACTTGAATTTTTCTGGGGGGAGGGTGCAGGTAAGGAACTGTTACTGTCACCAACTTTGTGGTGGTGTGGTTGCTCTTGTCCCTCAGAAGACCAAGCCTGGGCTCTGTCAGATGAACCAGGATAGTCCTTGATTTGAGAAAAAAACTGCTCACACACCCAAATCAAACCACAAGCATATGTAGAAGGCACTATTGTTTCAACAGGATGATTCAAAGGTCATCCGTATCTTACGGAGTCAGAACCTCTCTGTTGGTGGTTTGTGGAGAAGACCTGAGCAGCAGAGGTTGTGGCCTGGGTTTCGTGACTAGGATACCCGACCTGGATCGGACAGGCGGGCCTCACTACTGCTTTGCAGTCACTCTGGAGGAGAAAAATGCAGGGCATGCAGCCTCTGAATTGCTGCGGCTGACTGTACTCCCCAACAAGCCAGACTTGAACTCTGGTATCTGTCTGTGGTCCCCCAGCCATGTGACACTCAGTCTTATCTGCTGGGATGTCTGGGTGTGTGCCCAGCACAATGGGCCATCATCATGGAGACTGGAGACATGTGACCCCTGCTAAAGGCTGGTCTGGGGAAACTTAAGAGTCCTCTGCTCTTGTGCTGGAACTCTGACCACCCCAGGGTGGGAAGCAGCTAGCCTTGTTAATAGAATTCTTCTTTAATCAATGTCGGCACAATCCCAGTGATGGGAGACATAATAACGATCTCAGGGGGGGACAACAGAACCTGTTTCTACTGTGCAGAATTCTGGCTCCATGACCCAGTTGCTCATCTCAGGCCCCATCCCATCGTTCCCAGACTGTTGGTCAGAGAGGTAAGGAATGGATTCTGAGAAGGACACCGCAGAGCCAGCGCTTCATGCAAGAGCGTTCCCCACCTTTCACCCTCTCTCACCCTCCGGCCTCGGATCCCGCTAAGAACAGTTTTCCCCAGGATGGTTTTTGGTGCCCTTGAGATGCAAATGGGAGAAAAGATGGGAAGACTGGGGATGGTTCAGTTAAGCTGGGAACGAGGGCCAAAGAGAGAGAAAGTTCTGTTGGGGTGAAGAGAGGAGTCTGAAGAGGGGTGTGGAGTTGGAGCATGTGTGAACACTGATGGGCACAGAAACTGGCGTTGGGGAGAGCTGCTTTGGCTCAAGATCTGAACCCTTTCAATTCAAGAGACATAGGATTGGAATTTTTCTATCATTATTATTTGACAGCTAATTGTACTTTTTTTTTTTTTTTAATGTAACTGATGGAGAGACTGGCCCAAATGGGAGCACAGAATTGGTAAATGATGTAGTTTCTGCTTTCATTCCATCAGGGCGGCTGTCTTCCTGTCGACTATTTTTTTCTCTAATTTTCTCTTTGCTTTCATATAAAGCTCACCAGATTTCCAGTGTACTCTACAGGTCATCTCCACCTTGGCTCCAAAGCTTTACGTGTCAAAGATACTGTATTGTACACTTAAAATTTGTTAAGAGGGTAGATCTTAAGTGTTCTCATCTTACACACACACACATGCACACATGCACAGACACACACACGCATGCACATGCATGCACACGCACGCACGCACAGATCATGGGCGCACACACTCACACTCACAGTGACTATATGAGGTAATAGACACATGAATTAGCTTGATCGTGGTTATTATTTCACCATGTGTAGCAAAGCATCAAGTTGTACAACTTAAATATATACAATTTTAAATTGTCAATTATACTTCAGTAAAGCTGGGGAAAAAACGTCTCATGTCATAGGAAAGCCTGCAATCACTTCATGGATTACTATAAGATCTGTTAGCTTGTGTCGTGATTATTTATGAATTCATTTCTCTAAATAACTGAGCATCTTGAGGCTAGAGACCATCTCATTTTCTTCTTTCACACTCTCCAGGAGGAGTCTGGAGTATGTCCGGCCAGAGGGAAAATGTTGGTTTTCATAGTCAAAATTGATACATTCACAAACCTCCTGGACTCAGCTCTCCTCATGGTGCGTAAAAGGATGTGGGTAAGAAGGGACTCTGCCTCCTCAAAAGAAACTTCCAATTCCTTACTTATAGGCTGTACTTGGTTGCTAGTGTTCCCCTCAATTCTATTCACTTGGAACTTCAGAATGTGGCCTGATTTGGAAATAGGGTCGGCGTAGAAGTAATTAGTTGAGATGAGGTATACCGCATAAGGGTCAGACCTAAATCCAGTGACTGGTGTCCTTGTAAGAAGGCCATGTGAAGCTACAGTGACCCACTCAGATGAGTGAGAAGAACAGATGAAGACAGATACGGAGATGGAAGTGAGGCAGCTTCAAGCCAAAGACCAATGTCAGTAACCATCAGAGGCTAGAAAGAAACAAAAGAGGATTTTCTCTTGAACCTTGAGAGGGAATACGGTGCAGCCGATATCTTGATCTTGGACTTCTTGCCTCTAGAGATGTGAAAGAATAAATCCCTGTAGTTTTAACCCGCCTAGTATATGGTAATTTGCTATGGCAGACCCAGGAACCAACACATAGCCAACACTTTAAACCTCTGTGTTCATTTCTGAAAAAAGAATTATACAGCAAGGTTATGATATTGAGCGGTTGGGTCCGATTCTGCCTCCGAGATCTGCTTTCCCTTCGCAAGTATGGATGCCCGTTCTCATTCTTGCCATCACCACTGTACTGGCTTCATAGTGTATGTCAGTTAGGGGTCAGGGGTGCTGCTCGTCTTCGATGCCTTTCTCCAAGGTCGGTACAAGCCTTCTCTTTATGTACTGGAACCTAGCTAACACAATATCAGAATATTTGAGCTAGATGACACAGTGCCCATCATTTTACATACATAATTCCATACACTACCCCATTTAATCCTAAAATGACCGTACGATCAGAAAGAGTTCCCAGTATCATTCAGATTTCTTGGTTTCCAGTAACTGACATTAGCTCTGGACATTTTTAAACTGAAGAAAATGTACTAGAAAGATATCTGTGCCTCATAGAACAGGTTTGGAATACAGACATAAACAAAGGAGTCCCGAAGGGCCATGCTGTGGGATCGTGGTCCTGAATTAGTCTGCCATACCAGGGTGAATTGATTCTCCAGCAGAACCAATGTAGTGACAGCATTCACTCAAGTCCAATTCTTGGGGACAGACGTCATTTTGCTAATCCTAAATCATAGGCTTCTCCGGCAGCCCAAGGCTGGCCCCTCTGCCTTCATCAGAGGGAGTGGCTATTACCTCAGAGGTTGTACCCATGGAGCCACAAGGTGAATATACAATGGCTTTTGTGTGTGACAATTCAGCACTCTTATTTATTTCACGAAAGAGTGGGTTTTCAGCAAGAATAACTTTGAACTTTCCAGTCTTACCTCCTAAGCTGCGCTGAAGAAAACCAAAGTTTGTGTCATGTGTCTCGTCTTGCATCCCATCGTCAAAGTTAGAGCAATCCCTCACTCCCGGCTGGGGTAATCATGGCCTTAGGAACCGCAAGCAAATGGTAAGGATTTTTAGTGTTTTGGGGGGTTGTGAACCCTTTTGAAATCTGGTAAAAAATATTTGCTTTTTCCTTTCCCCCATTTTTTTTAAAATTTTCTGTTTTAACTTAATTTCACTGCATTTATATTACTTTGTGAGCTTTTGCATCATTTCTCCTTTTCTTTCCGTTAGCGGGTGGATTTAAATGAGCAAATCCAGGTAGGTACCTGGCACCACAGTACCTCTCTAGACACAATCCACAATCAATGCCCTGGGGGGGCTAGCCCTGTGGATGCGTGATGATTTCCGGTTTTCTTTTTTGTTAGAGTGTTCAATACCATCAGAGGTATTCAGTGTTTCCTTCAGACACATCCTTGGAGAAGGAAAGCCTTGAAACTCAGCAGCATTTCTTTTTTCTGAGGAGATAATGACAAGGGTCTTGATGAAGATCTATGACCTCTGCCTCTGGGCGGGGACACGGAAGTGCTGTTGGAACAATGCTGCAGACAGCTCTACCTTTTGTGTGGCTCTGTGTGGCTCATTTCGTCCACTGCGGTGAAGGGCTTGTTTCATGAATCTAGTTGGATCTTTGATTCCTCATTGGGCTTCAGTCTACAATCACTACAAACTGCAACCAATACTTCCAGCTAAATTCCTATGCTTAGTAATTGAGAGAGGGTCTAACTCAACCACGAAGACACTGGTTCAAGATTGTCTGGGTTCAAATCCAGTGCTAACTAACTCTTACTACTTGTGTGATCTTGGAAAAGTTTCTTCATCTGCAAAATGGGAGAAATAATAAATTTTGTCGTGAGGATTAAGTGATTTAATATATGTAAACTGCTTAAAAGTGTGACTGGCACACGGTAAGCTACTGCTATTAGGCTCAGGCAATGTGATATCCTCTAGCGTGCAGTCATGTATTAATCAACTAAATCTGAATTTGAAATAGAGATTAGTGATTGGAGATGGGAGAACAGGAAATTCATTTTGCTGCAGTGTCTGTTTACAAAATACTTCTGAAAATTTGCCAGTAAATTGGCCAGAATCTGGCCCTCAACAGCTACCCAAGGCTTGTTAATAATGTTTACACACAGGTAAGGAATTTTGTTTTCTCAGCCATTCACATATCCTTTTAATTTGACCCATGAGATGAGGGTCATTGCTCATTGAGCAGGTAAGGTTTGTGTTTCGCCACTTTGCAACAAGACATCACGTTGTGACAGAATGCAATCCATTTCCATCCGAGTTTACAGCCAAGGAAACATTTGCCACCAAGCAAAGTGCAGGTATATATTTCTACTCCATCAGTTTTTAAAAAACCATTCCCTGAAAGAAAGAAAAGAAAAGAAAGGAAAAATCAGTCTTCAAGAAGCTGGGAGAAATTCTAGGTCTGCCCTCTCTCCCTAGTGGATGGTTTATTATTTTATGATTTACTTTTTGGATTCTGTCCTTTTACCTCCTAACCACATCTCAGTGAGGACGGCCGAGTCTGAGGCTAATCAGAGGAGAATGAAGGGAAATAGGAATTTGGATAGCTCAATAGTGACATGATTGTCTTGAAGCTGGCCCCCCTCTCTCAAGCTGCAGCAGACCTTTAGGATGTAGCAACAGATGAGCAGAGCTGGAGACCACTAACATACATCCCCAGCCTGCAGGTCCATCTGTTATTGGTGTCCCCCTGCTGGGCTTATGTCCATAGGGGTTTTTAAGTGCCTTAGTCCTTGGAAGAAAACCCCACTTTCACAATCAGACCTGTACCCACCATCTTACCTGAAGGCAATGAGATCACCAGGAGGAAGAGTAACCCAGAGAGACAGAGCCTCATCGTTGAGGAAGGCACAGAGCTGGGACTTCCTGCAGGTGGCTGGCTGCCTGGGAGGCTCCTTTATAGAGCTGGGCGGGGCTGGGCGGGGCTGGCCTCCTTCTACCTGGAAGGGCACCCAGAGGAGAAAGCCTTCTTCATGGTTAGAAAAAAGAGTCCCTGGGCCATTCCATGTTACTTCTTCTTCTACAAATCGTGGGAGAAAAAGGGACTCAGTCAAGGCAGAACAGGAGCAGAGACCAGTTGTCATGCCTGGGCCTGAACACTTTCTCTATAACTTCAAATGTAAACTGATAGAAAAATGGCAGGGAAAGGGTCAACTTTGTTTCTCCTTTTTCTGAATCCCACTGAGAACACAGGAGCCCAGAGTAGCGATGTCATAAAACATAGATGTCATTTAAGGCCAGAAAGGATGTGAGCAAGAACTTGCAGCGCTGTAAGAAGCAAAGGGTCTCAAGGTGTCGACTGTTGGTTGCCCTGATCAGGATTTCTGGTGGGTGCTCAGGCAGTGGAGAAGACTTCTCTCTGGTGGTCAGATTTAGTTGCCTGGCCGGAGGCTTGTGCTATGGGGACCCTCTCCCCAGAAAAAGTTCACCAAGGGGCTTTGCTTTCCAAAAGGCTGGTATGAAATGGTGGCTAGAATTTGGGAACTTTAAGGGTTATGGAAAAGGTCGTCTGTTTGGAGTGAGTGGGTTGGAACTCCCTCCCGGTCTGTCACAGGAAGAGCCAGTTCGGTGCTGTGTTCAGGGTTGGATGCCCTGTGTCGGGAGTGGAGCAAGGCCATGCTTCCCTGGAGCTATAGGAATGCAGCCCTGGGGAAGGGTCATTAGGTCTGTCCCCGCTAAAGTGGTGGGGGACTGAGAGTTGAAAAGATACTAATACTGGTTTTATTCTTGCGCCTTGAGGCAGCCTTGTTCCCAAGTGGCCCACGACCGTAGGATTCTGAGTCTGTAAAGTGGCAGTAGAGCATGGTTTTATTGGTTACGCTCTGTTTTGCAGTCACATGCCCTTGGATAAATTATTTAGCATTTCTGAGATCCAGTTTCCTTTTCTCAAAACGTGCATCGTAAGAGGGTTTTTTGAGGATGAAATGAGATAAAGCTTACGAAACGCGACACGCTCATTCTGATATGGATTAGGCTCCTCCTCCTTCATTACTGTTAGTAAATCTCACCACTACAGCTGTGTTGATTTCTTTTTTCTAGAACCTTTCCAAGAGACTTCTTAGTGAATGCCAGACATGACTGGGTGAGTTTTATTCTGGGTTCCAACAATGCGCAGACAGCTGAGAGCACTGCTGTGTGTTAGGATGGGAATCGGGGAGGGATGGTGGGCTAATGGACTAGAAGTAGGTAGGTTGGTGACAGATCAGGGCTGAGGATTCCCTTGCATGACCCCATGGAAAGCTCCCGGGAGACTGTGCACTGGGCATGGGATTCGTGCCTGTAGAGTACAGGGCGTATCTTGGCCATCTGCTACCACAGACAGAGCACAGGCTCAGTGGTACAGCCTCATCCTTTTAGAGATGGAGAAAACACGGCTCAGATTGGCGAATGGGCTTGCACAAAGGGAAGAAGCCGTGGGCTGTACCGCCATCAAATATTCAGCTCTCTTGATTCTTGATTCAGAGGCTGTCCTCCATTTTTTGTTTTCAAGTTATTCAATCATGAGTTAGGGCATACAGAAGGCACGAACCCAACATTTTCTAAGTACTTCTGAACCCCTTCCATATACAATTCTAGAAAAGCAGATCTAAAATGCATTTTGTGACCAGCACGTGATGAGGATGGGCTCTTTCCTTTCCACCCACATACGTCTAGATTGAATCACTGTTCCAACTTTTGGGCAGGAGCCTCTCCAACTGTGCTACATGTTCCCATCTCCTGCTCGAGGCCTCGTTGAGCTAAACGGTCAGGGAAGCACAAACGGCTTCATTCTCTTCCCTTTAGTGGTGCTCCGATGGTGCTTCCTTCCTTTATCTTTGTTTCCCAGAATTCTCGTTCCCTCTTTATCATGTCAACTGCGGGGGTTCAGAACAAGTCACCCCACGCCACAGATTGCGGCTCAAGAGAAATGTCTGCCCCTCCCTTAACTACCTAGAAGAACTTGAATTAGGGGCCTTGCTCATAATAAGAGATTATCAGAACCTCTTTTGATCTATTTATAGGGTGGGACAAACTTTTATTTACTAAACATCTGCTCTTTTTACCCTTCTGCAATGTCCCTTTGAAGCTCCCCTATGCCCTCAAGCACCTTACCTTATCCCTAGCTCAGGATATACCCCAATCCCCCCTTTCTATCTCCTAGCCTCTTCTGCATGTGGGGTCCCTGACTCTCATGTAAGCAGGGTTCCCATACCGATGTGTGTATTAAATTTGGTTATTTTCTCTTACTAATCTGTCTCATGTCTATTTGATTATTAGAACAGCTAAAAGAACCTTGAGGGTAGAGGAAAGTTTCTTCCTCCCTCACACTACCTTTGAGAAAAAAAACATCCGCTACACACCCTACACTGCACTGCTGAATTACGCTATTGCAGGAGAGAACCCCCCTTACAGCTGCCTCATCCACTAGTCAGATAGTTCCTGACTTCCCTGGTTGTTTTTCTCCATGTGCAAGTTTATTTTCCCCCATGGATCTTATTTTTAAATTTCTAAAATAAATCATTGACAAAAGAGGAAATTTAATACACATAAAGAAAAATAAGCAAGTCATATCCATAGCTTGAGGACTGAATGTCTAGCAATCACTGGGTAACCACCACCCAGAAAAAATTTTTTTTTTCCCAGCACTACAGAAAGTCCTAATATACCATTAAGTGACCAGAGCCTCCCTCCCTTCCCTGTAAGGGAACCACTGCTCTGAGCTGGTTAATCTTCACTTTCCAGCTTCGCTTTATGGTTTTCTCTTTAATGGGTATCACTAAACTGGGCAGTTTAAGTTGCCTGTTTTTGACCTATCTATAAATGGCAGCACAAATGTATTACTTGCGTCTGGCTTCCTTCTTTATTACGTTTTTAAAATTTATCTGTGTTTCTGTGTGCAACACTAACCAGTGTTTATCTCAGTATATTGACTACTTTATATATTTATGACTGTTGACAAGCATTTGGGTTGTTCCCAGAGATCACGGAGAATGTGGTTGTGGACAGTCTTGTACTTACTTATATTCTGCACACACAGGCTTGCTTTCTGGAGGGTCCTCCACATCGTTAGCACTGCTTATTATCATCAGGCCTTTACACTTTAGACAACTTGATGGCACCTCATTGCAGACAGATTTGATTTTCCTGATTATAAAGTAAGGTCAACTTTTCATGTTTATTAATCATTTGGATTTCCTCTTTTGATAAGTGCCTATTCAAGTCTTTCGCCCATCATTTTCTATTGGTTTGTTCATTAAAAATAATACAGACAACTGTTTAGTGGTTACCAGAGGGAAATGGGGGAGAGGGAAGGTAAATAAGGGTAAAGGGGGTCAAATATATGGTGATGAAAGGAGATTTGACTTTGGGTGTTGAGCACACAATGTGATATACGAATGATGTGTTAGTGAATTGTACACTTGAAACTGATGTAATTTCATTAATCAATGTCACCCCAATAAATTTAACTAAAAAAAAGAGACTACGGGCTCTTGGTAATTGTTAGTTTTTTTCCTCTTCTTCCTATTTTTATCAGGAAAATAGGGCAAAAAAGGAATGAAAAGCGAGTTGACTTTATTTGTGTAATCTTAGAATCAAAAGAACTATGAAGGGAGAGATAGGAAAAGAGCAGGAGAGACTTTGGCCAGCTGATGCTTCCATCAGACCATTACGGTTCTTCAACAAGACTTGGAGAACTTAGGTCTCTCTGTCAATTGTTCTCCTTCCCTAAAATCCCTTTGGCCTCCAATTCCCAGATCCTGATGGAATAACTGCAATCTGGTTGATCTAGCAGACACAAAGCTTCTTCTTTGGAAAACTTTTAGATAAGAGTCAGGTATAGATGCTCAAGAAATATCTTTCCCAGATATGTCTTCTGGGGGTACTGCTTTGCCAAAGTTCCCCGAGAGTCTGTCCCTCTTCCAAAAATAGAATCACTACATTGTTACAATCTTGATTATTCTCTTTTGTGATGTATAATCTGCTGTACACCCATCTTCATGGATGGCATAATGCTTAGTATAGTCATGTTATAATAAACATTTTACCTAAAGTAACACTGGAAGAGATTTTGCTTCCTGGAGTACAGTGAAAATCCCTGGAACCTGTCTCCCATCTCACTAATCCCAGAAGACACCAGTGGGCACACAGAACTTTCACCCATTAATTTCCCTGGCTTATCTCTGGGGCATAGGAGACCTGGGAGTGGAGAGTCCCGAGTTTTTGACCAGGAGCCCAACATTTTGCAACAGAGCACAGGACCACGAGGTTTAAAGATGGCTCACTGCATTTACCTAGATCAACCTATAGGAGTTTTGTCCCCACATCCAGCCCATCTCTAGAGAATCCTTGGAGATGTCAGCCCTGGGGAAGACCAGGAGCACATTCCCATGGTCTAGCTTATCTTACATTCATCCCCTTAGCTGGAAGCACATATGTCAAAAGGAAGTTCACGGTCAATGTAAGGAGGTAGGTCCATGTCTGATGAACTGATTCCACAGCCTAGAACTCCCTGTAGGAGATGAAGACATCCCTTCTTTAAGCTGGGGTGGATGGTTGGGGCTGCAATATGGCCCCGTTCTGCCCTATAGAGCTGATGAGAGGACCTATGGACGTGAGAGGGTGAGAATATACTGCTGCCCGCTCCTTAACAAGTGGATGTACTTCAGACCAGAGGAATGAAGGGCCTAAGCACAACACTTTCTCAGATGACTGGTAAAACTTGACTTAAATCCTGGCTCTCCTGGGTTATGGTCCAGAACTCTCCATGCTTTCACCGTGTTTCTCTAACTGTATATTGAGGCAGGGCTTGAAGTGATGGTTAAGATCACAGTTTCAGTCTCTCTGAAACCCTACAGG